ACTCAGATTCGAAAAGTGTTTCGGATTCGCAATCCATTGGTTTTAAATCTACGAAACAATTAGTCGAAAATATACTGTAAACAAATACAGCTACTTTTATGTGTGACACTTTTCTGACATAACTAAGTTGAGGGACACGTTATTGTACACGTTCGTGATTGATAATAATAAAACAGTGTTCATGACAAAAACCTATTACTGAGTGTTAAACTCAAACTCGTATACTTCGATATATGATAACATGATGTTAAGCTGAAAATGATTTGACATTTTCTCATTGATTATATTCCATTGAAGTCAATCCAGTCAAATAAATCATGCTCTAGAGATTTTGTTAAAATATATATCTTCATAGACGAAGATTTTATTGTTGATAGACGGGAAAATAGTCGACAAAATTTGCAAATCTAAAAGCCATTTGTGTGATGTTAAGTGTTTTAATGTCTTGTAAAAAACTATTACCGAAACATATATAGAATTTGTTGACAGTATTTTCCTTATACGTAAGCCGCATGGGTTCACTTATACGTAAACAGTATAAAAAAGGTAACCGGTTATCGCTGACTTTTGTGTTAGTTTGACTGACATAAAGATTAATGTGCTCGGTTTAAAACTGTGATAATACAAACAGTGATCCTATCAGTACAGTAAAATATCCTGTTAATTGCGGGATTAACGCACAAATAGATTCAAAAGAAGCCTGGGCAAAATAGTAGCAGGAGGCTGTAATTTATTTTTTAATTAAAGTTTCGATGTTTTATATATCAGTATACCGTTTTGTTGCATTCCTCATTTTTTTTGTTATACAATGTTGTTGGAATTGTCTTTACTTACTTCGTCTAATTCTATCAATGTTTTTCAGCATAACATATTTTGCAATCATTTCATAATAAACCTCTTCAATAGAATTTATGTAATTTACTGCGATAAGTTATTTGTGCTAAAATTAATTCTTGTTATCACCTTATAACCAGAGATCCAACGGGAACAATGTACCAGACATTCTTGTAGGTGTATTGTTGCCTATACTACAGCCAATCACTACACTTAAACAAAAAATCTACAGACGCGTGTATGTAATATTAGTATGATTTATTAAATCTCCTGCCTAAACACTGTTTATTGATTTCTTTCCCTATCTTTATAAACTAAAACATGAATACACATGCATATACAAGCGTTACACTTTACAGCTTTCAATTTGATGGACATTTTATAACATACAACGATATTGTCGCGAAATTTCGCAAAATTTCTCGCAGCAGAAAGTTAGTTAAAATTAAGTCCAAAAGCATTGCATTAAATGTTTCATTCATATAAGTACTTTGCTTTCTTTTTCTTTTGTTGTTGTAGTTTGTTTGTATGTTTTGGTTATTCTTTTTTTGCTTATAGATTATAAACAGATCGTAACTAGTTAGCACAATAAGAACAATGTCTACATACAAAAACATAATGTAAGTGTTACGCTTCCCTTTAAAAAAACAACAAACAAACAAAAACTCATTAACAATACAAATCTAAGATGCCAGCGTCCAAATACTGATTTAATTGGCGTCCGCGCCGAAGCGCGTCGCCTTTTATGTAATGAAATCAGATTTTGTGAAAGGGCGACAGCAACTTCTCGAGCCTTTTATAGTTGTTCATAATAAAAGCCGATCATTCCGATCGGTATGAGGGTGCTTGATTATTTATTAGTCGCGATATGTACAATGAATAGCGAACTGGAGAATTTCGCAATGCAAACATTTTCAAATTAAATAACCTTTTCCGTCAATAAATCGCGCTCTTCAAGGTATTTTTATTTATCATTTGTAGTACACAGTGGATTAAATTATGGTATGTTATTCCGAAAGCTGTAAATAGAATGATGAGTTGATGACCTAAATATTCCGAAAATATATTTATAGAGGGATGTACTCCTGTCGGTAATTCCCGGTCTCTCCTGGTCTATTTTGACGACCGGCGAATAGTACCACACGTTTATTGTCCGGTCTCTCCCGGTTTTGGAGTAGATGTTTGATATCGTTACAGAACAAATATTTTACAGATAAATAAGCTTTTTTTCAAAATGAATGTTTGTCACTTAGTTTGGTTACAATAATTAATAAACACAGATCAACTCTCAAAATTATTGCTTATTATTATACATAAACAAACAATTCGAAAAAAAAAACCAACAACACAAATCGCGTGTTTTATTTTATCTATATGAGATAAAACAATAAATATGAACAATAATTGATAAAAAATGTACATTTTTATGGCATTAATATGACATTATCAACTTTGAAACATTTTATTTAATTTGTTATTCGTGTTTAGTAAAGATGCCGAGGAATTATTCAAAGTTACAAATCAGATTTTATGAATTATTCAATTGATTGATAATTTAAGAAATGATAAAGAAAAATACAAATGTACATTTATATGGTTTAAGAATAAACAATAGTATATATTGAAAGATTAACCATAATTTACTGACTTTTCCAGTTAAGTTTTGACTTATAATCGTCGGTCATTATGACAATTAAATTCTTAAAATAATAGTAAACGTAAAAACTCAGTATTAAAATAGTGCATAAAACACAAAAAAGAAAAGAAAACAATATTCATAAAATCTGTATTTTTTTTATTAAAAAAGATATTACAATTAGTGTATAATAAACATTTATGCTCAACATGGTAATATAACCAATGTCATATTGTTACTATAAGTGTGAACAGATACCTTAAGAGGGGGTCTTCGCTAATAGCGATAACATAATAAGGTACAATTACACAAGTGTGGTGTTGATCATGCGTTACTCATATGGATTATAAATGATTGTATACATGTATATCCGTTGCTATTAATAATCACGATCATAAAGAAATAACAAGTAATATTCTAATTTCTAGCATACCAATCAAATTTATAAATAATGAACAATGTCTTTCGTTCGTTCATTCATAAGTGATATACAATTCTGGTAAAAACCAATGAACCATTGAACAGTTTATCATCAAATATCTACTAGTTCATCTGCACCTGCTGTATTTCTTGCTTGGACGCCCTTTGATGCTTTGCATCAATGCTTTTCTTGTGTAGTCTTTATATAGATCCTATGTTCCCATGCTCATTATGTCCCTAAATCTGTGAATGCATAATCATTGGTGGCCAGGGAGATAAAAATTTAGTGAAAAGAATTTTATTATGACCATAACATATATCGTTGAAAATATTATAAATAATATAGCATATTATCAAAATACGATCATTAGATACTAAAACTACTGTGCAAGCATCTGTTGTAAGAATCCAGACTGACAGTACTAGTATTGTCATAATTTGCCGAATTACAAACTTACTAGGCTTCTTGTTCAAAAGAAACTTTTACATTAATTAGCCCGACAAATACATTTGATTAAACGAATAATGGCGACATTGGCCAAATACATAACTGTTAAAACAGTTTTCTAATAACTACATCCGGTGTTCTAATAAATGCATGCCCATTAAAGATGAAATTAATTTTGTGAATAATATTAGCGATCATTATGTTCCATGCAACATGCAATGAAAAGTACATGGAAAGTGATGTTTGGTGTTAGCATTGTAAAACAACATCATTATATTTTTTTATTTAAAGAACAGGTACATTTACTGCACATCAATTATTTCTAAAGTCAGGGTATTTTCATGTAAAAAGGAACAACATAAATCAAATGAAATCCAAAATAAAAAAAAGAAAACACAAATAAGATTATTCATTGTTCTATTTACATGTATAATTATATTGCCTTCTGTTCTAAAGTTTTGTAAGATTTACGGGACCAGCATCTAACAAGATTACGTTTGTAAACGAAATTATCCAATATCATATTCTAAAAGCAATGAGCATTATACATTGCTTTAAAAAATCAAGCTCTGTTAATCATTATACATTTGCATACAAGTGCGTTCACCTATAATATTGAATTCACTACTTTAAATTATAACGAAATAGACCACATCGGTGTTAACATTATTAATTTGTGGTGATTTTATGTAACTTAGTACATATTAAAAATTAAGCTAGCGTTATGTCAAACAACATGTATATCTTTGTTTCAACTATACACCGAAGAGACTGTTTAATCACTTCGCCAATTTATATTGTTAGTACACTTATTTTTTATCTAGTTTTAAGTTGACCTTTTTCCTATTTGAATGAATTTTTTTTCGTTTTGAAGATTTCTCCCTTCTTTCATTCTTACATTCTCGCATAACGGTTTATAGTATATATTGTATCCGGTGACAACCGAAACCGAAAGTTCGGCGGATAAAGGTTTGAAGTTAATCCCCTGAATTAGACCACCTCTGTGTATTAAAAAAATGGAATTCACCTTATTTATACTTTTTTGGTTAAGACCCATGATCTTTTTCAGGAAACTGTCGTAATGCGCAAGGGGTCAAAAACATATTCACTTAAATGCAATTATAATGGACCAAATTTATTATGCTTCTGGCATTTTTAAACATTACGTAGTTCTTAATCTCACCGATCCTTGAAGTTTAAAATACGTCACGTTATAGCCGTTGTTAAATATTCACACTCCAACAAAATATGTTTTTACAAACAAATTTTTTTTCAGGCACATACAATTTTAACAGACTTTCGGGTCCTTGTTTTCAGAGATCTATATCACTAATACGTACCTATACCGATTTTTTTCTTATTTGAATGTAAACATCATGTATAAGGTGAATGAAAAAAAGATTAACCATGTTTTGTGTTAACATCTACCACATGAAAATACTTCAAAATCGTGAGTTTAGTGGTGTTGAGTATATGATGTCGACCATATCCAGGGGCTTTCTATATTTGATCCAAGTATGTACAGAAAACGCGATTTAAGCGTTAAAATCAAGCATAAACTACTCCCCCGCACACAAAACTAATTTTAAATTACAACTAAACTTAATTTATCAGTGTTATCAGTGATACTTTGGATTTGAATTCAATCTGAGATACACATAGCTATCATACGTTTACCTGTCTTCGATTTTAAAATTTGTGCTGGATGTTTATGCATTGTAGTCGTATAAATAAATTTAAATGTTCCATCATATAAACCCTTCTATTTAAACTTTTTCGCTAAAGTGAAAAAAGCATAAGCGTTGGAATATTAAAACATATTAGTATGGCTAGTACTTTTTACACTTTGTTTCTTGCAATCTGCATTTAACTTAATAAACTTAGGTGATCGAAGTCGAGCGTATACAGAATTGAGATATATATCATGTATGCATATTGTATTGCAGATACAAAACTTACCAGTTATCATTTACTGAAACAAGAAAATTAAGATTTTTTAAGCTTGGCTTTTATGTCTTTATGTCACATAGACAGAGGTAATGCATTATGACGACATTTAAGAAATATTGGTGTAGGAATACATGTGTCCATTCGTGCACCCTATTTAAACCACCGACATTATGTGAGGTAGCTGACTAGCGTCCACACATGACAAAATCCTGAGCGGCAAGTGTTTTAAAGGTGACGACATTGTCGACTGGGCTACGGTGGCCTGGCATGCATGAAATTCAGTATGTAAAACCAAATTACATAATATTTATGATAAAGTTAAAAAATTTCCTTTGAAAAGTGGAATTAAATTGATATTTACGTTTCATATTTACATTACAGAATATCAGCATATTAATAGAATCGATTTCTTAAAATGGAAGTAGCTGGCAAAAGGTTGGACAATGACACAGAGTCTGCAGAAGGCGAGTCTAGTTTATGTGTATCATGTGAAGTTGAAAATGTGAAAACTCTAGCATGTGGAGCATGCCGGGAATGCAATGAGAAAATATGTACCACGTGCTTCCGGTTTCACCTTAGGGGCAAACTATGTAGAAATCACGTGTTTCTTTCGCTTCAGGAGTTTTCTTCACTCCCATTATGTAGTGGATTAGAAGATGTGACCAGATGTGCAAAGCACGACAGTGAAATCATCAAATTTTATTGCCGATCACATGATATCGTTGGGTGTGGAGATTGCATAGTACTAGGACATACCTCATGCAAACCAGAATATATCAATGATTTGGCGAAATCCTTCAAAGATGGAGACACATACACAAGCATTGCGAAAAGACTTGAAGATCTTGAAAAGCAGAAAACAGATTGTGAACACGAAATTGATAAGGCTACATACGAATGCGAAAACATGAATGAAAACGCATTGAAAGGACTCCGTGACTTCAGAACTGAGATAAATGAATGTTTGGATGAAGCAGAGGCTAAGCTGTTATCAGAAATGAAGAAACTAAGAAAGGAAAACACAGAAACGAAGACAAAGATTGAGGCTCTATTACAGTCGTTTACGTCAGAGCTTCAGAAAGTGAAACAGATGCTTGACACACAGCTGTATCGAGATAATGCATTATTCATCAATGCAGTTAATTGCAGGTCCAAACTAGCTGATATAAAAAAGATGCACTCCTCAAAACACATGGCTTTAAAAGGGTTCAAGTTTGTTCGTAATGATCAAATGTCATCGCTTCTGAAATCTGAACGGCCTGTAGGAAGTCTGCAGTTTTGTCAGATCGAATGTAGGACAAAAGGTAAGCATTCTTAGTTAAAGGCATGAAATTTCTTAACGGTTAAAGACAGTTTTCGTACAACTCTTTCATAGAATCTTAGAACATGTAAAAAGAAATAGCCTTAGCAAATTTATTCTACGGAAAGATTTTTATTCTGTGTATATGTCTATATAATAGCTGTCGCAAATGTCTTTATAATGTAAAATACAGAATTTAGTAAAAGTTCATATCAATATTTACTTTAAAGGATCATACTTGGGTTTCATATAGACATACAGCAGAATGAAAACAATCATAGGTTTAAAAAAATCTTTACACGATTTAAATATATGATAACACGCCAATTGAGGTCACTGACTTCATTTTCGTGTTATCTGCCCTTGGATTTGAAAATGTTGCTTATTTCAAGGGCAGAGAATACATGATCATTGTTAGTGCTAGCTTCTTTTTTCATACATTTCATGAAGCTGACTTTCTATCGAGAGATTATGTAAATTAAATAAAAAAAGTAATTTGTATATAATATCTTCTTTTTTAAAGCTTTACCAATTCCTTTAAAATGGCTCTTTAAGAGGTTTTCCAGTTTCCGAACTTAAATTAAATGGTACAGAAATGCTAAATGGTATTTACTTAACATTTGTATTATAACTAAGTAAAAAATAAAATACTGAAACTGATAGTAAAGATATGATTTAAAGAATAATGTATTATGAGACATTTGCACCTTACATAACATAAAAACCCTATTCTTCAAGGGCAAATCGCTCGATAGTGAGGTCAGTGACCCCATAATGTTTTTCGCTTAAAATGTTTCTGTTATTAATTTAATTTTATTCTATTATGTAGTTTTCATTCTGCTGTATGTCTATATGTAAACTTATCATACGCCACTAAATTGCTATATTTATTTTTTGTTATTGACTTTAAATGTTTTTTTTTTATTTGAGAAATGAATTTTGAACAAATTGATCATATATATAGTGTATACATTTTACTAAACTAACTGATAAGGTGTGTCTAAAGTCCATGTGAATTAATGTTTCTAGTGTGGGAGCGAGAGGTTTCTTTATTTTATGTTCTTTTAAAATTAGATTCTTTAAATGATTTACAAAGTGAAAGCGGGCATTGTGTATCTGTCATATAGCTGCAGTAGGCTTAACCAAAACTTTTTCTTGCTTTATTGATACAGATATACCATTTTATTACATGCTTTTCGGTGGTTTATAGAAATATATCAGTGAAATAAAAATGGTAATTTCGCTGTTTTAAACAGTGAAATTATCAATTTGATAATTTCACTGTTTTGAATTTAAGCCCCTTATGTTGTTTCAGTGAAATACCAGCGTGCACAGTACTGGGAACCAACTTTATGACGTGACGTCATAAAATGACGTCACGTTGTATTATTATTTGGCGCGCTTTTCATTCAGTATTAGGTTTAATGTCTTTTTAAAACGTTTCTTTGCATATAATAAAAAGAAAATTTGTTTAGTTTAGTGTAAGATCGAAATATATTTCACCTTGTGAACACCAAAAATTCATATTTCACTCGTGGCTGCGCCACTCGTGAAATATACCTTTTGGTGCTCACTCGGTGAAATATATTCCGATCTTACACTGAACTAAACAAATATCCTCTATTTATTACATGCTTTTCGGTGGTTTATAGAAATATATCAGTGATATAAAACTGGTAATTTCACTGTTTGAAACAGTGAAATTACCACTTTGATAATTTCACTGTTTTGAATTTAAGCCCCTTACGTTGTTTCAGTAAAATACCAGCGTGCACAGTACTGGGTACCAACTTAATGACGTGACGTCGTAAATGACGTCACATTGTATTATTATTTGGCGCGCTTTTCATTCAGTATTAGGTTTAATGTCTTTTTAAAACATTTCTTTGCATATAATAAAAAGAAAATTTGTTTAATTTAGTGTAAGATCGAAATATATTTCACCTTGTGAACACCAAAAATTCACATTTCACTCGTGGCTGCGCCACTCGTGAAATATACCTTTTGGTGCTCACTCGGTGAAATATATTCCGATCTTACACTGAACTAAACAAATATCCTCTATATATTTCTTCTACGATTGATAATAATTATTAAATACATGTTTTCTGCGCAAGCGCAAGTGTCGATTCGACGTCAATGTTTTTACGTTAACTAATGTACAGGTGTATTTACAACCTTACAGAAACAGTCAAACAGAAGTGTTTTGTTGGTGCTCGTGTCCGTTGTCCTGCAATAGGACAGGTAAATATTTTATTTTTGAAATACATATGCGAATAGAACAGGTAATAAAAGAAGCTTGTTAAGTAATAATTTAATAAGTGTACAAAAATTCTTGAAAAGAATGTTTTACAATTTTAGATCTACATAAAACATTATGTTTTAATTCAATTTAAATTTGTGGTCACCCGTATACTGTTACGCCTTATGTCGGCAGTACTTGCATTTGGTTATGCTGACAAAAGAGATTTTTTGTTTTCAGACTGTTGTTTTGTTTTACAGTACACACAAAATAAACGGCTCTGTTATAACTTTGATCCATCTAGAACATTTTTTTTTATTTTCAGTGTGGTACAGTACTAGGAACTATAATAGATGTTACAAACGATACTGTTTCAATACAATGGGATGGCTTTGGCTTTGCGATATCATACAACATCACAGATGACATTACCTTTGAAATTATTTAAAGATATGTTATGGTCATCTTTGGCTAAAATACTTTTATTTGAGAAATTTTTGTAATCTCATAAATTCTTATGAGTATGTCTGCTTTGAATAACTGAATGGATAAATTAGTTTGGGAAGATACATTTCCTATTTTTTGTCAGTTAAATGTGGTCTTTTCTTATAACAACTGCCATTTATTTAATGACACCATGTTATTATACTGTGATTACCTGTTTTAACTATGTGTGTATTCAAAAGATGTTTATAGAGACTGTATGGTAATTATCATTTTTTAATTAAATATCAAATTTTGAGCGGACTATATCTGTAAAGCTGCATTTTCTTAACTTCATAAAAGAGAAATATAATTTCTGCAATTTGTAAATAAAATGGGTTTCCAGCCTACTCTAGCTCTTATTTTAGTGACCAGAATATCACAATGTGTTTAATAAAAGTTAACGGCTGCAACTTCCTTGTGAAGAAATTTATGTAACAATTTCTGTTTGCATGCGAAATCAACAGAAAATTTAAAAAGGTTGCTTAAATATCAGCTGAGCAAACATTTTTCTTATTTAACATATTTCAGCTTCATATCTTCCTTCTTTCGTTGATAACTGTGAACAGCAATACATGTGACGTAAAGCTATTATGGTAAAGGTTTGTTTGCACATTCGGATTAGATAGGAAATTTATGCTGCATTAGCCGTGTATTGCATAACAACAATTGCTTTTTGGTACCGACACTATAGAGGGGGGATTTATAATATCCTTGTCCTTCCGTCCATCCGTTCTCATTTAGTGTCGCACGGAGCTCAAAAAGTATTTGACCTAGCGTCATGAAACTTTACAGGAATGTTGCTCAGCACGTGTAGTTTAGCACCTGGGTATTTTCGTGTAGATTTATCTAGTTTCTGTAGAGTCATTGCCCTTGACTTAGTAAATATTTGCAATTTTCAACTTGTGTCGCACGTAGCTCAAAAAGTTATTGACCTTGATTCATGAAACTTTACAGGAATGTTGTTCAGCATGTAAACTTGTGCTCTTGTGGTTTTGCTTGTGGATTTATTCTGTTTTGTCAGACTTAGTGCCCTTGACTTAGTAAAAATTTGCAATTTTCAACTTGTATCGCACTTAGCTCAAAAAGTATTTGAACTAGGGTCATGAAACTGTTCAGGAATGTTTATCAGCATGTGTTGATATGTATGTTTGTGTAGATTTCTGTAGTATTTGTAGAGTTACTGCCCTTGACTTGCACTTTTCGACTTGTATTGCACATAGCACGATAAGTATTTGACCTAGGGGTCCTGAAACTTTACAGCAATGTTGATCAGCATGTGTAGTTTTGCACATGGGGTTTAACTTGTTGCTTTTTCTAGCATTTCTTGAGTAATTGCCGTTGACTTGGTGAAATTTTGCAATTTTCAATTTGTGCCGTGCGTAGCTCAAAATGTATTTAAGCTAGAGTCATGAAACTTAACAGGAATGTTGGTCAGCATGTGTAGTTTTGCACCTAGGGTTTGGCTTGAGGATTTCTCCAGTATTTCTTGAGTAATTGCCCTTAACTTAATGAACATCTGCAATTTTCAATTTGTATCGTGCGTAGCTCAAAATGTATCTAACATTTAACCTAAAGAGGAATGTTAATCAGCATGTGTAGTTTTGCATCTAGGGTTTGGCTTGTGAATTTCGCCAGTATTTCTAAAGTTATTGCCCTTAAATTAGTAATAACAGTTCCATTATGTTGTGTTATTTGTTTCTTGAGTTCTTGAGTTTTGTCAGAGTTATTGCCCTTGACTTAGTATAAATTTGGAATTTTCAACTTGTTCATGCATACCTCAAAAAGTATTTGGCCTGTTGGCCTGAACATTTACAAAAATGTTGGCCAGCACGTGTACTTATGCACCCTGGTGTATCCTTGTGGATTTATTTAGTATTTGTAAAGTTCCTGCCCTTTACTAAGTGAAATATTGTTAGTTTTCAACTTGTGGCAGATGTGGCCCAAAAGATATTTGACCTAGAGTCATAAGATTGACAAAACAACTGAGTAAGGGGGCACCCGTGTCCTATGGACACATTTCTAGTTGAAAGTTTAATAACGTGATGTTTCGATTGCCTGTGCGCATGCACGCATTAATTCTAGTATTCGTTCGAATTTTCAAATAATTGTACGAGCGTTAGTGTTGCCGTGTGACTTTCCTTTTAAAATTATAATTTCTGAGCAATATTTTGATCAGCTTTATAACAGTACTTTTACAAAATGAATTCTTAGCTTTTCAGCCGACTGCAAAATATTTTTACAAAATGTGAAATGCAGCTTTAACCATATTATACGAAATATGGTCAATATTCTTTGAATCCATTATTTTTTATTTTGTATTATGATCTTAGCTACTTTGATATTGATATAACTTCGTGTAAAATATTTCGCTACGTCTTTTTGTTCATATTGAGGAAGATACGTTTAAGTGCTTGTCTTCTATTTAAAAGCCTATTTCAGAATAGAATAAGTCCAATAATTCTTTTTATCGTAAGAATTTAAAATATCATGTGATTTACAACAAATGGCGAGTAATGTGAAATTGCATTGGTTTAAACATATTATTCAAAAATGCATAAGACGACAACATCCTGACATTCTTAAATACTGAGATCGTAAGATTGCAAACATACATTGCATGGTTGAGTTTCTCTTAGAGGCTAAACGTCTTCACGTTCAATTCGTTTGGCTTGGTGTCAACTTATTGAGAACCACGGATGTGTGTACGGTGGCAGCAAGAGCAATGATTTTAATTAACCACCAAATAATATAGGGACAATTAGCCATGGTTTACTGAGAAGTAAGAATTGTTCAAATATAAAACAATGAGCACATATTAAGTATCATTTGGAAAGCAGTGGTACGATTCGATATGAATTGGGTTTTAGTTTGCAAATACAGTGCGTGAAACTTTTTTCTGGCAGAGTTAAGATGGCGCTGTTTGTAATACGTTTTGTTGTCAGTGTGAAATACATTGGTCGTTCTTTACGTTCACATTATGTATTCTCGTTCTGTTCAGTTTTGAATTATAGACAACCTTGTTTTAGCATCATAATTGTACAATTTATGAGATTACATCTAACACCAACATTTTCATGTATTATTTTCGAAAAAATAACTTGAAACTGCAAAGATATTGATATAAGTATATCAGTTTTCCTTACTTTTCTTGTTGTTAAATGTTTGCACTAGGTTTCAAATTTAAATGTTACCGAATAGGAAAATGTTTAAGGTAAGTGAATAAGTTTCTTGACAACACGAAAGCTGGCTAGTAAGAAAAATCTGATCCAATTTGTTTTAGTACTTTTACTTTTTTGTGGCAGACAACTGAAAACTAATATAATGCCAAACTTAAGAAAACTATTTTGTTAACATGTTGTTCTGTGAACGTTGACACGTACATATATACCTGGAACATATTTGTTTCTGTTGCTTTCCTATCCGTGCTCTGCCTTTTGCCATGTCCTGTGTTTGTTTGGGGTCCTCCTGGGCTCCTGGCGGCTGGTCCTTGTTGATGGGTCGTGTGGTGGTTGCGTTCATTGCACACCGCTTTTCCTTGTTGATCTTCTCCAACATATTCGTTAATTAGTATAATAATAGTGATTTGGTATTTTGTATGGGAGTAAAAATATTACATTTGCTACTTTTATGGCAAATAAAGTCACATCCAGTGCTTCTTTGGTTCGGTAATAAGTATCTAGCATGCTCTAAAACCACCATTTAAACACTTTAAAACTCATGTTTGCCCTTTCTAAAGAAGGAATAAAAATCAATTTCTGAGGCATAATGTGCCTTTAACCCATTAATTCATGAGCATTTTGTGAAAAATGGCTGCTTTCATTGAAAAGTCTCCCGTTACAAGTTCAAATTGCTATAATACTATAAAAACTGCTTCAACACTAATCAAACTTGGCACAAATGTTGACTGGACCATTGCACTTGCAACAACATGCTCAGGCTTAAATTTTCTGTTACCATGGCAACGAGGGGACATCTCAAAATTGCCAAAAATCACTATTTTGCGTTGATTTTTTCCATCAAAATTGATTTCAAAGTGCTGCACTTTCTCAATGGATTGAGATAGAGTCAAATGCTTTTCAGCGTTGGTTACACGCTACCTTATGATCAATCTGGGGTCATTTACAGCCTCTCACAAGTCCAAAATTTTTCTTGGCGTTGAGGGGCACTCCGCCCCCCTTCAAACCCCCCAAACAGAAGGGGGCACATCCCCCTTCTGGCAACCCCCTGATGTATCTTTTGGTTGGGGGGCCGCGCCGAAAAAGAGGTCACTTTTTTTAACAACATTTCTCAAACAAAAACAAGTGTTTGGGGCCTAAATAAGGCATTTTTTCATCATTTGAGACAACAGGGGGGGGGGGGGGTTGAAAAAGGCGTTAAAAGGCGTGTATATGAAGTAATGGGTTAAGCAAATGCAAGAGCTTAGATATTAAGCATGAAATTTGTCTAGTAGAAATAGAGTAAAACAGACATCTACAAAGGTTTTCAAATTATGGCATTTGGGCCAATATTGACCCAGTTCCGTATGTATGTTAGTTTGTGTGTGTGTGTGGGGGTGGGGGTGGGGGTAGGGATTTTCCTTATATGTGCGTTATATAGTAAAGAAAAGTGAAGCAAACATACGGCTACAAAAATTGGAATTAACTGCCTGAGGAAAGTATGAATCAGGAATATAAAAGAAAAAATGAGGATTGTTAAATTAAACACTGAAATAAAAGGGGAAATGACTTAAAAGGCGAATTGCAAAATAATCTGAGATTGCCTTTCTCTCAGCGGATGTCTGCTGTAATATCTTTTATTTTGAGCGCTTGCAATAACACGTGTTACTAAATGTGACAAACAACAATATCTTCTTCATTTAGAAGAGAGCTTAACCTACATTACGTTCTTTGTCGTACCGTAGTTTAATATTGGCAAATCAAGTTAAATTTACTCGTTTGATAATGAACATCATTTATGGAAACTACCTAATGATTTCATTTCTTCAAACTAATTCAGTTTGTAATTTAGTGATGATAAATCAATCGATTAAAGATACATCATTTGATTACAAAATATATATGTCAGCACGGAACACTAGACATTCTTTAACGTGATGTGTTGTCTGTGTAAGTAAATCAATACGATTAGGTCATCTTAAAACCCGGAGCAGTTCAAGGCAAGTAAAATGTGTTTTTAGTCCCCTACCGGTTTAACCGGAGGGGACTTTAGGTTTACCCTCCGTCCGTCTGTCTGTCTGTCCGTCTGTCTGTCCGTCTGTCTGTCTGTCTGTCAGTCTGTCAGTCCGTCAGTCCGTCCGTCCACAAAACTGGATCCCGCAATAACGTAAAAAGTACTGAA